GCCAAGATGGGTCAGTTTTCGCATAGGAAGCTATAGGGAAAAATGACAATTTTTGCAATAACTCACGAATGGCTCGGCCGATCATGCTCATCTTCGAACTCGACCGAGACATTGTTAAGACTAAACTGTGTAGAAAATTTCATCGTAATCTGACTCTCCTTTCAAAAGTTATCGAATAAACGGACGGACGGACGGACGGACACACTGACCGATTTTAGTAGTGTACTCACTTTTTGAGTACACAAAAATAATAATAATATCTCTAGAAGAAAAAGCGTCGTTAGAGTGATATGATATCGCCTATGGAATATAGTCATTTAATAGGCTCGTACCATTATTCGAAACATCAGTATTGTTATTGTCTATCAAATGACGACTTTGAATCATTTCAAGGACAAATTTTGTGTTTTAATGTTCATATTTCATACTTACACTCACCTCGATTACGTACGATTGTTTTTCATAAGGGTGTAGGTGTAGATGTTACTGAATAACAGAACTACCACCAACACTCACACCTAAAACACACTTCAAAAACATAACTAGAAGAAGAAATATTGTAAATCTAATTGAAAAATTCTAACATTTTAATTGATCAAACACGATTTTGATTTCATCGAGAATGTAATATATAATCGAAACCGTTAACGATGAGTAACAATTCTTTTTTTGCAAATAGACAAGAATAAGGAATGCTTTCTTAAAAAATCGATCCAGTTGATTTCTTCATATGGAAAAAAAAGAAGATAATGGTAATATCTAATACCTTTAATGGCTTGTTCACATATATTTTATATAAAATGCTATTAAAATCAGTTGAAAAAAAAACAAGATATAGTTTTTATCATTATTTTCTTTATTATCATTGATAAACGTCTCCAAATGTTTCACGAATGACACTTACTTTATTACAATATTTACGCATTTTACTTGTGAATCTAATAAGTAAGAGAGACTCTTGGTCACATGGCATATTCCCATTTAAGATCCCCTCTTCACTCAAAGAAAGTCACTTTTTGTCAGAATCATCGAAATTAAGATAGATACAGGGGAAGATAGCCCGTCTTCAGTTCTTTCATAAAAGACAAATATTTATACTCAATACCTCTTTTTTTCAAAAACTTTTGAAGATTTCTGTTGACCTCTATTCGAAAAATAAACTATTTTCAAAAAAGAACAAAAATCTTTTTCGTTTCTCTCCGTTTATAACACAAGACGCAGCGCGATACAGAGCGCAGTTTTTTAATCACACGCAATTTATTTAACACCTTTTTTTATTTTTTCACCAATTGTGGCGAACATAATAGATGTCTATCGTTCATTTTTTCCTTCGTTTTGGCCAGTTCACAATCCAACTTTTTGATTTTCTTTTGTTGATATTCAATTGTTACTGACATTTGTAATTTTTCATGTTGTAATTGTTTTATTGTGACATCACGAATGGCTAATAATAATTCTAATTGTTCTATTTTTGTTACTAATGATTCACCATGTGCGAAAGTATTCTACAATTAAAAAAGGAAATTATTTTAAGAAAATGCAAGCATTTTTATGCCTATAATTGAAGGCTGTTTGAAAATCATGTGTTCTTATGCATGCTGCACTTCTAATCTACAACCCAAATCTCGTCATAATGGAAAAAATCCCTAACTACTTTCGTCTGTTTCAATCAACGTTTAGCACACATACTGCTTTTACAACAAAATGAAGATTCACGTACAGCTTATTACTTTCAAAAACGTTCTATTAATCTGAAACAGAAAAATTATAGAAGATAGACTTTACCTTATTATAATACATCTTTATTTTTAGATATCAGAAAGTGGGGTACACATTATGAACGAGGTCAGCTATTTTATCTAATAAATAAACAAAGGCACACTGCAAGAACGAATTCTCTTTGTATACAGGTGACTATTCATCTATACGACTGTATACATAGGATACATTCGTGCCGCCTTACATACAAATGCGTAACCGTGCTATCCATACTTTGTGAAAATACATAGATGAACTGCTTATGCATCACGTAATACATAAGTAAATAGGTTTATTGGTTCCTTTAAAGAGACAATCAGTCACTTAAGTCGCACTATGCGCATCAGCGTCACTACACATATAACCTTTAAAATTTCTCAGATAAGACGAGTTAAGAAAAACAATGCTTCTATTAATGTTTATTCAAATAAATATATACTCATAACTGTTACATTGTTAAAGTAATATAGTAAAAATGTCCTTTACTCATATGATTAATATAACTAACTTTGTTCGATGTTTTTTTTTCAAGATAAAGGAAAATCAATTAAATAGTTTTAATTTTTACGATGGATTCTTATTGTTTATTTCTATCGTCCTACGAATATTTAAGTTGAGGTTATAAGATAAAAGGTAAACTCTTAAAATTCATTAATAACTGATTGACACATTGAATTCCAATTTGAACAGTCAATTGACTTTTTTTATTAGTAATCTGTATATTTAATTTAGTTTTTATTAATCAATTAGAATTTTCATCAGTTAATTAAAAATAAAGTATTTATTAAATTTTAAAAGAGAACAAAAAACCTTCAATCAAAGCAAAGAATTAATTTGATAAAAATATTTTCTTTAACCTTTTGAGTACTGGATTATTTTTATATAATAAAAATTTTTATAATTTCAAACTAACGTTTATTTTGCAAAAAATATCACAAAGTACGTGAATTAAAATGCTTGTAGAGTGTGATAGTCTTTAAAACAATTCATAAGACACAATTCTACATCACATTCAATGTATTCATACGAAGTATCTCTTCTTGATCTGGCTCTTCTCACAGTATTGGCACCAACGTAACATTTTCTTCTTGAATTTAGTTGAGTCTCTATTGATTCAATGCGCAAAGGAAAATGTTATCAAATGTGATCAATTGATCAGAACCTTTACTATAGATAATACTCTTGAATGACTGTGTTAATATGAAAAATCCTGCTGATAACGATTATTCTTTCTTGAGAAATGTTGTCCAATGACTTATGTTCTAATTCATTGAATCATATAGTGGTCGATAGAAATATTAGGGAACAACCAATAATCATCACTAGGTACAGATAGTCTTAACCGTACAAATATCCTAAACGCAAATATTCATGTAATTCATATCATAAAATAATCAAACGATCATGCTTTCTAAAGTTATTCAGACCCTAAACTATTAGGACGCGAATTCACGTCGCCGATACTCAAAGGATTAATAAATAAATCTGCAAAAAATTTGGCAATATTTGTTAATTTCATACTTTCAAGACTATGAACAATTTCATATTGATCTTGAACAGTATAGTAACGAAAAAGATTTTTGAAGAATTTCTCCAAAAAAAAACATGCAGAGTTCTAGCTGTAATGAACATCTCTAATTTATTCGATGTAAAATATTTCGTTTTCTCACAATTCATATTGAAAATCTTTATGAAATAGGGTGTGGGTGTGGAGGTCTTCTCTAAAAATATTTCCACACCTACACCCTTTTTTTTTAAATTTAAGCTTGTATTTTCAAAATGAAGAATGAAGACTAGTAATAGACTTATCCGTCATAGTAATCATATAATCAACATGAAAAGCATAATTCAATCCTTTTATCAGTTTAAAAAATAAACGACATCATCATTTATGAGTTGATGCAGATATATAGTAGTACAGTAAGAACTGCTGATGCATATATAGTGTATTATTATAACAGTATGATTTATGAGATAATCGATGGTGAAGAAAAATAATGTTAAATTAAAAAGAAAAAACAAAAAAATGACTGATATCGAATGTATAGCAACAATTATAAATGAAATCGGGCGCTCTCAAACAAAAAAAAATTTTCTGTTTTAAATGTAGAAATAAATAACAAAGTCTCGCTTTTGTCATCGATTATCAATGCAAACAACTAGAGTGTACGAGAAATTTTTCAGTTTACATATGATGCATTAGAATATTAAAATTTAAGGATATATGTGGGTTTCACATTTCAGCTCCAAAGAAGCTGCGCTAACAAGCCGTTTCTTTTTCAACTTGACTCTATCATCAAGAAACATTTCATATTAATTATAAAATGCGAGAGAAAAAATAATATTTTCTTTTATGATTATTCGAGAAACGTAAGCAACTTGAGAAAGCTTAATGAGTTTTTTTTACTTCAGCATGTAAAATAATCGTTGATAAATTCAGTTGCATTAGAGAGGTCTATGAAAAAGATTCACACTGAACAAATCTTCTCATTTGTCAAATGAAGTGAATAGAACTACATGATTTATTGATTTTCGATATTTCATGATGAACATTAAAATAAAAATTTCTAAATTCTGCATCCTCATGTAACACATTGTTATAGCACATCAAGAGCAAATAAGAACCACAATGCAAATGATACTCATATTCAAGAATAATCTGTGACAAGTTTCTTAAGCTAAATACGATCACATCAACCATTGTTGCTAAGATGTTTCTGAAATGAATCTACACTACTTCTGTTGTTGATCTGATGCCCACGTATAAAACTCTATGAAAAGTGACATTAATTTGAACGATTGAAATCGCCAATGTAGAACTTTCACCAACTGAACTCTAATAATGATAGTATTTTGAATTTAGGAATGATGGTGAAAGAACATCTATTCTATTCCCTAAATTCTGACATGCTCAAAGAGTGATTTCGAAATGACCGTTAGCTTACATTTTCAACTTCTTAAATCATATGTCACGAGAGCTGTCCCAATCTGAACAAGACTAAAGAAGTTCATCATGTTGAGGGACAAGGATTCTCAATGAGGCATTCTCATAACAACGAATACATGTAGAAAAGAAAATATTTCATCTGCATTACAGCAAAATGGAAAGTTTTCGACATGCAGAAAAAAAATAGAGGTGCTCCTCAATACTGTCTTCTCTTCTCATCATAGCACACCATGTAATATCCATGCTTGACAATATATCAGTCAAACTATCGTTTGAAAAAGAAAAGCTAGATACTATCAAAAGTATTAATCGTAATTTCACCAATGCGAGAATAAGTGCGCAAATGAAAAAACAAGAAATTCTTTCTATCAAATGATGAAGTTCAGCAATCTATCTATCTGAAATATGTTAGATAAATAATATTCTCTGTCTGTCTTCGTTCTGCTGTCTTATTGTCCAGTATTGTAATCACTATCGGAAATAGAGGCATGATAGTATTACTGTTTGTTGTCGCAATTATAGATGCTTCCAGGCACAATGTCATTGACGTTAAAAAACATCTAGCAGCTGGTGAACGCTTTGCTACATCCATGACAGTAATACTGTTGCATTCGATTGGTCTCTTACTTCTTTTCATTTTTGCAACAGAAAAAAAAGCAATGAACAGAAAAGAAATTCATGCGTCTCATTGTTTTAATTAACTATTTCTTTTAAATAGTCCGCTATATTTCTTTTTAAACTATCAATGTCAGTTGCTATCTCATTATACTAAGTAAGTAGCATATTTTCATGATTAAGCAAAAACAGTTAAACATTAGTTTTTTTTTATATATTTTGTGAGAAATAAAATATTACTTCTTGCTTTTATGAAAAAAATGCGGAAAAAATCAGATTATGATCGATAAAATTATGATTAAAAATCGATTAAAACCAAACACAATTGATTATAATCATTTAGATATTGGTCTATCACTATTAATCGATTAAAAATAATTTTTTTTGATTTTAATCGTTTAGTAACCGATTAAGAGCCAATTATGAAGCGATTATAATTCATTGTTATCAATTATTATCCATTTTGCACTGATGTGATCAGTGCTTCGATTATTTCGAGTGTATTGATTTTTTTATGCATATTCCTTTGAAATTAAAGAAAATATATAATTTAAAAACAGGATACTTTAACAAAACAAATTCGAAAATAGGTTTTTGAAAAATAAAAAGAAGTTTCATCACATTCTATTCTTCAAGAAAGGAAGAAACCATTCGCACAAAGAGTTTCTCAAAAAACTTTGTATCCATTCCTTAACAAGAACGCATAAATACAAATGAAAAAGTAATTTTTTTTAACAAAACGATGTTCTTCATATTCCTTTCTAAGGGCAGGAAAGAATAAATGAAAAAGGTTTTTTTTGGGCTAAAACAAGTTTAATCATATTCCTCTCTAATAAAGGAAATAGAACAATTGAAAAACAGACTTCTGAAAAAAAAACCAAATTAGATCGTCTTCTTTTCTAAGGAAGAAAATGAACAGTCAAAAATAGGCTGTTGGAAAGAAGAAAGTTTGATTATATTCATTTCTTAATTGAGAAAAAAAAATTTTTAAACTAATGGTTGATGAGTGGAAGCATATTTGAAAACATCCATCTTGAATAAAAGGAAACAAATAATCGAAAAACAGTTTTGCAGTATAGAAAAGTTTGAATATATTTCTTGATGTGAGTAAGATTGTACAATTATAGTTCTATTTTTTCCCGCAAGTAAAGTAAACAATTTTAGATTTTTCCCCGCTGAGAAATGTTTGGTTTTATTGTCATTATAAAAAGAAGTATGCAGTAGGGACAAATCTTTTTCACAATTCGCCTGTTGACTATGAACATGTCATACTAACTAATTTGTTGCCAATGATGAACTGTGTGCTTTTACCAATCTTTCTCAATCACTTTACTAGAGTAGGAAGTGTTCACTTATTACCTTCTTCATTGTACTTCTCTCTTTTGATTCTCATTTTTTTGCATGCTTTCTCCTTTAATTCATCTCCATCCTTTATGGAGACACTAGTGATACTAAATAGATCAAGAAACTGCACTTTTACTTATTCATCATCATCATCATACTAATCAAGGGAAAAGAACACACTCGACTACATTTCGAATAAAAAGTATCTTACTTCATCAAGAATTTCTTTTTACATGGGCAAACAATCAGTTCTTTATTTACAGATGCTTTCGCAATAGTAAAATATATGGTACGAACAATTGATAAAAATCAATCATCCGTAATCAACAGAGGTTTATTTTGAAAATACTTTTGCCAAAAGAAACTTAACTCTTGAGGCAAAACTAAGAATGACAAAAGAGTTTCAATTATTTCGATTAACAAAATATGAGAGTAGAAAGTAGCTGAGATCTCTTTGATGATTCAACACAAATATCTTAACCATTGATAAAGCGTTTTCCTCATATCGCATTATGTAAATAACAATCCACGATAGATATACAATAAATTGCAATGCAATTAGTTAATAATGATCCGAACAATCAGGATAAAACCATAGTCAATCAACTATTGTCCGAAGCAGAAGTTATCTGTCATGAAAGCAAGATCATTTCACGTTACATCAGATTGTGAAAATACACATCTACAATTTAATATATAATACGAGATGATATCGTTGAAGTTCGGCACTGCGACAGCCTAAGAACTGCAGATAATCTAATATTCTGCGGTGTTCAGGTAAACGCCAGAAATATCTTGTTTGTTCTGGATTAGAATAGCATTTGAGCTACGTTATGAGATGTTAGAAGAGAGGTGGAATATACCAATACATAGTACAATGCAATTGAAACATACAAAGTTATCGCATCAAAGCAAGACAGAAAGTAAAGGGAGAAAACAAGAGAACACACTAGAGAAAATACCTGACAGAACGAAAGAAAAGTTATAGTTATAGTAAACAATATGTATATATATATATAGAAAGAAAGAGAACGAATATGTATGGAAAATACCTTTAACATATTTGTTTTATGGCATGTATTATGTATGTGACATAATAATATGAAGCTGGATGGGCACACTTTAACTATGATGAAGAAACCTCACGAAGTCTATCATAAGTAGTTGGGAAATCTAAGACCAATATGTCCGTATTTCCTTCCAGTATGAAAAGAAGATCAGAAACAGGTTGTAATATCTGTGACTGTTAGTAGCGTTGGCTGATGCATAAATTTTCTTACTAATATTTCAAAACTCATGAAAGTATGGGTGTAAGTGAAGAGAAGTCACACATTCAAACCCTAGTAAATGTACGCAAGTTGCGACACATCCTATTTTAGTGTACGTGGCCATGATACATTGATAAAGAATGCCACTATTTCCGGAACAGTCATCTCACAGTAGACCTATTCATTCAGAACTCACAACGCCAAAGTCTTGATCTCGATCGCACGGAATCTGAGCAGCAACTAGTGTCATTATTTTCCTACTCATTGTTTATAGAGATTCACACAAACTGCGAAAGAATATTTTGAATTTTTTGACTGATATTTTCATAGCAACACTTTCTTGCAACGAGGAGACATATATCTACATATAGTCTCAAAAACCATTGCTAATAAATGTTAATAATTATAGCAAGCTTTCAATTCCTATTAATAATCTCGAAAAGTTTACTACACTTCAAACTTTCAGATTACTTATCAAAAGAACTTATTGATCCGACTTACACAAAATTTCCATAGTCTATTTTTGAAGTACTGTTCAATAGAACACGCTAAACTTCTACTTAACAGACACAATGGCAATGTCACGGTATGCATTTCCTTTATTCTCTTCATCCAACACATCGACTTAACCTTCTAGATGCCAGCATATCCTATTATTTATTGTGATCCTAGCGAGCACGATTGTCATCCTTGTCCCAAGTATTTATTTCATTCGAAAGAACAAGCCGAACCAGATTTCAGGTATCTTCCATTCAACCTTTTTTACGATTGATATCATTATTCTCTCTCTGTCATTTACAAAGGTCTAAACGCAACAATAACAGCAATGGCAAGCACAATAACAATGACGAGTACAACAAACATGACAAATACAACAACAATGACAAGCACAACTACAATGCCAAGCACAACAACAATGACAACCACAACAACAGTGACCAGCACAACAACAATGGCCAGCACAACAACAACGGTCAGCACAACAACAACGGCCAGCACAACAACAATGGCTAGCACAACAACAGTGACAAGCGCAATAACAATGGCAAGTACAACAACAAGGACAAGTACAACAACGATGCCAAGCACAACAACAGTGACCAGCACAACAACAACGGCCAGCACAA